CTTAACTGACTGAGCCATCCAGGCATCCCCAACCCAATTTAAATGTAACAGTATTTCTGAAATAAATAACACCAAAAAAAAAGAAATCAGAACGCTTTTGGGATAGCACTAAATGAATTAGTCCTAAAGCTGACTGATTGTTAAGTGTTACAGGAATTAGGGCAAATACTAAAGAGTGAACATTTTCATGGGGCGCCTGGGTGGCTCAGTCGGTTAAGCGTCCAACTTTAGCTCAGGTCATGATCTCACGGTTCATGAGTTCGAGCCCCGCGTCGGGCTCTGTGCTGACAGCTCAGAGCCTGGAGCCTGCTTCACATTCTGTGTCTCCCTCTCTCTCTCTGCCCCTTCCCTGCTCATGCTGTGTCTCTCTCTGTCTCAAAAATAAATAAACATTAAAAAAAATTTTTTTTAAAGAGTGAACATTTTCAGTAGTAGATCTTGGCACAATAATTGGGAAACAGATGTTTTAACAATTAGAATGTCTAAAGACTGGAATGAGCTATTGTTCTAAGCTGTTTCAGTCATTAGAAGAATTAAGACAGAGGTTGGAGTCAGGGCTGTGCCAGCCTATATAAAATTTTGGGTGAATTAGGAAAAGGTTTCCTAACCTAGAAGATGACTTAATAGAAGTTGCTCTCTTTGTGTGGTTGTATCCCCAGGCCAGTTCTGTGGCTTAGTAGCAGAACATGGCCTTCATTTTACAGTCTCTACTTTCCTCCTCAGATGGGAACCTTTTAAAGTGTCCTCTTGATAGAAATGCTGTAGATCAGCTTCTTGAAGCAGGCATGAGTTTGGAGTGATGCCCTCTGAAGTTGATGAGTCTATATTTCCAAGTGTAACCTGGATATAATTCAGTGCTTTAGGTGTCCCGGTCGCCAGCTAGATCACAAAGAAACATAATAGTGCAATCAAAAGTAACACAAGATTTTTAATCTTAACTAGTGTCTCTCAAAACCCATTAAATGTGGTCCAAAATTATAGCCTGTACAACATTTCTTAGAAGGTTCTTTCCTCATTCGAGCCTGACTCAATTTCCTCATACTTCAGAATTTCTTCAGAGGCTCTTCTTACAGTCTAACCCTGTAAAACTCTATCTGAAACCCCAGCACATGAGGTTTTCTATCTTTGCTTTGTCTCCTCCCTCTTCCACTTACTATCTAGTTTGTCCTCCTTCTGCTCCCTAGACTCTATAATATAAGAAAAAGGAATTGTGTTGAAAAAGATAGAACTTTCCTTACATTGTAAGAGAACTGTGAGAAGGTGAGCAAGATAGGATCTCTATTTTCCCCACTATCTCTTACTCTCTTTCCCTCTACACCGATTTTCCTCATTCTTTAATATCACAGTCTGGAAACCAGGCTGAGATAGACTAAATAATTCTGGGGTAATTTTCAAGAGTAGGGCCATTCATATGTTAATACTTTAGTGAGTGGATCCTATGTACGCTGAACTTTCTATTAGATCCTAAGGAAAAAGGCAAAGCAAGTTATTTAAATAATCCTTACTCACAAGGAATTTACGATCTCATGAGCCAGATGGACTACAATAAAATCAAATAGATTTCAAAGAAGAAAACCAATAGCGGACAATGACTACAGCTGTAGACCCATAAGTAGCTTTGGGGTTACCGGGGTGTTGGGTGTACATCATGAACAGAAGTATGGGGAAGCCAGGGAAGGTTTCATGGAAGAGATAGGTATTGAGTAAATGTTTAGATGAGGAAAAAGACCATAGAACAAGGAAAATTAGTGTAGAGATCTACTGAAGAGTCAAAGTAATGTGCCGTAAACAGTGGCTATACTTACCTGCTGGAACAGAGGGTCTGAGTAGGATGGGAAGCCTTTTTTTCTCCGTGAGCATGCAATTCTCCCTTCTCTGGTAACCATAACATTCCTTGTGCAACCTGTTATTAACTTATCCCATTCTGCTTTGAGTGAGTTAGTTGCATATTTTCTATTTCCTTCATTAAATGTTAACTCCCAGACAATAGAGACAATCTCCCCTCACCACCACCCTACTCCACTTTTATAGCACCTCACGCAGAATCTATCAAATTGTGGTTATTCAGTACATACCTACCGAATTGAATGGAGGTGATGAGAAGCTAGTCAGAGTCCATGGATAGGGGAGTGGAGAAGGGTCACATGCCTGTGCTAATGAGTTTGATATTGGAGATCAATGGAAGTTCAAACATGTCAAGGATGTGATCAAAATGATATTTTAGGAAGAAGAATTTTTCTGTCATTCCTCATAGGAGGTGGAAGATATGTTCATCTTTCTAATTGTCTCAGTGTTGCCTGGACATTTGGGAAAGGATGTCTCCTATAGATGATACATAGTACTGAACTTTAAGCTGATTTTAGTCATTGAATCTTTTGAATAAATATATTTAGTCTTCTTGCATTTTATGGGCTGGGTCTAACATACTCTGAGAATCTCATGGGTGTGAATAAATTTCTTCATAAGGGTCTTTGGTATTGTTGATTATAAATAGGAGTGACATCATGCTCTGGGGTGAGATTTTGGCATGTTTTAAATAATGTGCAAACACACGGAATTGGGAAAAAGTCTGGATATTGGAATTCCAGATTTACACTTCAACGAAGATTTGGGGGGGGTAAGGTTTATTGTAATTTTTAAGTGTTTTTTGATTGAAAGACAATGGAACCATTTTGTCAAACTAATTTCTCCTCCTTCCTGGTCTTAGGATACTTTAGAACAATTGCTGGCACTAATATATATTTAGGTACTTCTATACAGATTCATCTAAAATTCTAAAAATCCATTCATGTGAATTCTTTGTTACTAACAAACATTTAACACTTTTTTTTTAATGATTGAAATTACACAAATCATAGCTATTGCTTGGCGATTTCAGTCGAGCTTTCATTTTTTTTTTTCATTTTGTCAGTATAGATTTGAATTTATGATCTAGCTATGTTTTGAAAAAATATCTTTAGTGTTTTGATTGTAAAAGTAATACATAGGATAGATAGATAAATATAGATATATTGATATATGGTTTCTGAATTACTTTGTTTATATCCTGAATGTAGTCTATAAAACAAAACCCAAGATTGCTGTTTGTGAAGGAAAAACAATGTAGCATCATTATTAAGAGTGGATTTGGGGGGCGCCTGGGTGGCGCAGTCGGTTAAGCGTCCGACTTCAGCCAGGTCACGATCTCGCGGTCTGTGAGTTCGAGTCCCGCGTCAGGCTCTGGGCTGATGGCTCAGAGCCTGGAGCCTGTTTCCGATTCTGAGTCTCCCTCTCTCTCTGCCCCTCCCCCGTTCATGCTCTGTCTCTCTCTGTCCCAAAAATAAATAAACGTTGAAAAAAAAAAAAACTTTAAAAAAAAAAAAAAAGAGTGGATTTGGTTATCTGGTTCTACTTCTCACACCAAAAGAATAGGGTTAAAGTACTACAACTCAGTCTGTGATATCTAAACTAAGGAAAAGTTTGTAAATTTAACACGATGTAAACAATCAGAAAAATACAAAGCAAATTGTATTCTGTACATATGAATGAAGTATACATACATCCCTACATGTTTAGGATTCGTTGGATTTATAAAGAAAGGTAGACATTTTTGCACAGATAGAAAGCAATGCCATCTTTGGAAAGCTGAGGGAACAAGTCTCCACCTTAATTCAAAAAACAATGGAAAAAGGTCCAGCAGAGGACCTTTTTTATTCAAAAGTTCAAGTACTTTTTTATTCTGAAGGCTTTCAGAAACCAGATTTCTACTCTCTGGACACATAGGTATTAAAAGGGCTGCAGTAAATTTATACCATGATATTCTTTCTTTTGGCCTCACAATTTTAGTTAATATATTGGCTTTTTGGTTTAATTCCAGTGGCACAACTCATAAATGCAGGCTTTTTCTTCTGGGACAGGGGGAAACAATCATAAACTAAAAATCTTTGACAGCCTGTCTGTTGTATTATAAAATGTAACACCCTGTCTAAAAAAGAGAAATCTCCCAAAGGTCGTGTGAAAAGAGGGCAGCACCACACAAAAATCTGGGGATACTTCAAACAGTAGTTTGAACAATACATTATTCCTTGAGAAATTCCAGTTACTTAGCATGAGTGTGAGAATTATATGGTTTGGAGAAATCGAGAAAACTGAATGAACGATTTCAGAGACAGGGAAGAACTATTGCCACAAATATTTGTTCATAGTTCATAGTGATGCTTATTTTCTCAGCCCATGAGATGAAATTTCAGTTTGTTTATGAGACTGGCTATTCTGTTCTCAGGCTGGGCAGTGGCCGTCTGAATGTTTCTGTATGAATGAAAAGCTCATCTTCCCGGAATAAAAAAGATAAGGACATTTAGCAACACCTTCTTATTTTTCTGAATTTTGTAGAACTGGTAGTCGTCTGATGTATTGAAAATATGCACGTCTTCAAAAAGTAAGGCTAGATTGTCTGAATATATTTTGCACTATAAACCCCTCTGGCAGTTTTATGTTTTTGCACAGCTTGTAGGAGAGAGACTGGACTGGCTGAACGCTTCCTGGTTTCATTAGCATAACCCAGCCCACCTCCAACACACGCCCACAACTACCTCATTAGCCATTGGGAATGGAGCCAAAAACATAAGACTACAGTGAATATAAGGGGAATTACTGGCGAAAGAGCTCTAGACCAGCTTAACACTGAACCCATTACTTTTCCAAGATCAGAAAAATATTAGACTAACAGGAACCATTTCCCCGTTTTACTCAGATAAGGATTCAAGGTTTTAATATATAGCTTTTAATCTAGACTAATTAGCTTCACCATAATAAGACATACAGCCTGGCTGCGTATATTTAAGTACTTCTGTTAATCTCTTTCCCTTTCTCCCTCTTTTATTGATTTATTTTTCTGGATAGCTTTGACATTGTAAAGCACGGACGAATTGGAGCCTGGCATTGAAAAGAGGTGTTCTGCAACGATTTTTTTTTTTTTTCTTGTCTAAAGAAGTTTACTTCTACAAGAGAGAATCTGAAAAATGACAGGGGCAAAGAGGAAAAAGAAAAGCATGCTGTGGAGCAAGATGCATACCCCTCATTGTGAAGACTTTAAACAGTGGTGTAGAAGGCGGCTACCTATTCTGGAATGGGCACCACAATATAATCTGAGAGAAAACCTGGTTCCAGACACCATGTCTGGGATAATGTTGGCAGTTCAACAGGTGACACAAGGTAATGTACTGCATTTGATTTTCCTGTTTTAAGCAGAATAGATGTCACTTCGCTTTCTTGGAAAAGTATTATGACCCATGATCTATAATTTAGCTAGTGAAATGGACACTTAATTAATTGTGGGAAAATAAGCGCATTGACTATCTATATACAAAAGCTTTCCTAGTTGTCTTTTTTTTTCTATTTTTTAAAGCTGTTAAACACTGAACCAATTTTTGAATGGTAATATTACATACTTGCAATGTTAAAATTCATACTATATAAGTGTAAAAGATCAGTAATTGTGGGAGAATGAATTTTTATAGCTTGACCTTACTGATACAGTTTGTTACTTTCACTGAGTCAAGCTATAAAATATCTCCTGGCTTGAACATATCGTTTGTAAACCTAATTAGCAGCACACAATTACCTGTTGTAGCCTTGAGAGTCGCTATAAGCAAGGAACAGAGCTTTCTGTACATAAAGGAGGCTCTTTGCCAAAACCATTATTTGCAAAGAGAATCCTGTGTGTCCTTAGAGCTTGTATTTTACTGTGCATGTTGATTTAATTCTGTATCACATTACATACTGTATTTATTTCTCAATAAGAAATTTAAACTGGTGAGAAGTCTGAGTTTAACTTTCCCAAAGCAGATTCTAAGTGGTATTCTGGATTTTGATACATAGGTGTTTCTCTTGGTGAAAGCTTTAAGTTAAGTAGTGTGTACATGTGTGTGAACATGTGTGTGTGTGCATGCGTTTTCCTTAAAGATATATTTATTGCATTATTATTATTATTTTGCTAATTCAAGTAATAATTTCCTACCTGTAGCACAGAAGGGAACCAATTTCTCAACCTTGAAAATTTGGAACACTTTCCTTGGCATAGACTCTGTAGATTTATATTTCCTTGCAGTTTCACTACATCCCTAGCTTGAACTATTATTCATTCTGTTAAATTATAAGCACTCTTTTAATTGAATTATTCTGTAGCTGGAACAAACTGGTTTGTGTATTTGTGTTTTTAGTATGATTAGGACCATCTGCACTGGTGGCTTTACTTTAAGATCCATAAGACTATCATACTTTATGGGATTCCATTTCCCTGAATAGTCTAATATTACATTTTTTAATGACCATTTCGCCAATAGTGAAGCATGGTAATCTTTAATAAAACTGCAAAGTAAATAATAGGTTAGGGCATTTTGAGCCCTGTTTTTATTCAGTTTTAAATTCAAAATGTGACACTACTATGTACTTTGAATCTAAGCGATTGACTTCCAAGGGCTTTTTCACCAGATAGTTTTAGTATAAATGTACAAATTTATTTTGCTTTAATGTAATGTAAACTGAAAGAGAAATCTATTTTTTAAATAATTTGTTTTGTCATCTCTATAGAATATCAAGTTAATAAGGAAATCTGGGGATATGATAAAGATGTCTGTGATACACCCTTAGCAAGAGTATTTGTGTGTAAGTCTTTGGTAGTTAATTGTATGGCTTTCATTTAGATAGAGATTTTGAGGGATTTTGTTTTATGAGTCATATATTTCATTGGTTATAAAGAAACACATTGGCCAGCCCCTGACTGATGGGAAGCACAAAGCTTACTCAGCCCTGTGTCTTGGAAAGTTATGGATCTGGCTGTTGGTTCTCTTGGAAAGCTACCAGTGACTGGGCAAGGCTATGCCGCTAGAAAGAACTTGAAGGTTTCCGTTGATGTATGAAAAGACAAATTCTTCAAAAAGTACCTATTCTTTTGAAAACAATTCTCTTAAACTTTCTCATGCTTACCCACCATGGAGAGATAAAAAGTGAAATATAGGTTACCATTGTTATAAGGGGCACTGTGCTAAGCCCCTGTGTTCATTGTCCTCCCCTTTCCTAACAAAAGCCCAAGGGACAGCAGTCTCTTCTTCATTTTCCATATGAGAAAATGGAGGTTTAGAAAAGCAAGTAATTTTCCCTGGGTCTCATACCTGATAAGTGGTAGAATGAGGGCTTGATTCCAAAGCCAACACTTTTAACATTTCATACTTTATGTTCTACACTGCCAAGATAAGTAGACTTTTTCATAATACCAATGTTATTGGTAATAAAAGACATTCCTTTGGAAAGGTATGAATATTCCTCCCTTCAAATTACTTTTTCATTTAGGTTTCATCCCTCAAGTTTTTAGACTCAAAGGTGAGTGACGAAGAAAATAACTACAGTGGAATATACAGTAAGAATGGCGTTTAGATAGCATTAGCTTCTATTTATGTGAGTATAGGCACTCATTACCAGCTCCATTTCTTTAGAAAAATTGGAAGAAAGGGGTAATTTTTGCTTTTGCATCATAACACAATAGAAACAAATACCTGTTTTCCCTCTGCTGATCTTGGAAGCAGCTTTTCAGTTACTCGGCATAGTTGAATTATGTGAAATTGTTGAATCAAACATTTTTTGACCTATAAATATGGAAAGTTATATGGTTCAATCCAGTAGTTTTTCATTCTTCTCTCTCTAGAAATGTCTTTAAAATTGAGAAGGATAATGGAAACTAACATTTGAATGTATTCTATATGTCAGATATTTTAAATTATGTATTTTAAATCGCTTTACTAAAGATTTCCCAATTGTTAAATATCGATGATTATCAGTCACTATCGTATTTGACTCACGTATAGCATTTTACGTAGTGAGTATACTCCTTCTAAGACTTTCTTCTCTTGGTTTTGAGACATTGCTCTTTCATTTTTCTCCTACCACATCTCTGGCCTTCTCTTCTTGTGAGCCTCTGCAGCTTTTGCCTCTTCCTCAATCCACCCAAGCATCAGTGTCCAGGAGACTCAAACCCTGGCCTTCTTCTCCAAGAAGGCCTTAGGCTTTTTAATCTGCATAAGAGGTTTTAACTACCGTCAGCCTGCTAATGAAACTTTCTCCTAAACCCAAGATCCACATATCCAATTGTACAAACCTGGACTTTTCTAAAAGCACTTCAACTGCAGCATTTAGTCTTCTAAAACAAACCGAATAGCACCACCATCCTAACTAGAATTATAATAATTAAAAATAATAACAGTAATTTTCAAGCACACATGTAAACGGTGTGGTAAGAACATTTGACATTGTATACAAAACTGAGACTCAGAGAGAATAAGTCACTTGCTTGAAGTCACACAGCAAATGAGTGGAAGAGTTAGGATCGGAACTCAAAGAGTCTGGCTCCAGGAGTGTCTCGTCTTACACCAGACTGCTTCTCATGGGGGGGTCTCAAAAGTCATTCCCAACTCTTCGCTCTCTTTTGCCACTTAGCTCGTTAGCACACAGTCAGCCCCTAGGTTCTGTTACTTCCAGTCGCTGAGTGTCTTTCCAACCAAGTAGTCTTCTGCAGGCCTCCTGCTGCGGCCCTAGTTCACTGTCTGCGCCCTTGAAATCATTTTGTGGCCCTTCCTTCTCTGTCTCCTCCTGTAGGCCATGTTGCCTACTGCAGCCAGAATGTGAACATCTGAACACATGTCTTCTCTGTCCAAAAATCTTCAGTCCTCTCTTTCCTCTCGGATAAAAGGCCAATTCTTCAGAATAATTTATTAGATCATTAACAATCTGGGGCCCTTGATACCAAGGTCTACTCAAAGAGGCGTCTCCTCTGAAAATCCCTCCCAATCTCCCGGGAAGATGCATATTTTCTTCCCTCCTACTCCCTCTGTACTTTTTACCTATCTGCACGATAGGCCTTAGATTGAGTTATAATATTTCGATACAACTGTTTCCACAGTGGTCTGTAAGCTCTGGAAACAAAGGTAATGTTTCAGTCTTTACATTTTTACCAACTTGCGTGTTGCCTGTTGCATAGAAGTATGTTTTTAATAAATATTTGCTGGAAGTATTAAAAACAATTTAGCTCCTGCAACCTCTGATTATTCCATAGTAGCATAGTGCCACTCGAGGAAGGAAATTAAATTTACATTTTTAGGTTTTCAAAAGAAATGCAACAGAGATACAAAGAGTAAGGAATACATTAAAAATATGAGTGAGTAATGTCTTCCAATTCCTTTTACTTTCCTGAAGTTACAAACTTGCAGCCCTCCAGACAAATCTGGTAAAAGATATATTTCCTTTCTTCCAAAACAATGTTAATTTTTTCTCCAGCCAACATCAACAAATATGAACAGTTCCTATATAAATCCAGATGCTTGACCTCTCTTGAAAAGGGCGAATACACGGCCATACGGGGCCCATATTCCCATTTGGCAAAGATCTGCTGGGCCTTCCTAGAGGCCACCCCCTTTAGACAGGGCGTGCACTTTGCATTTTGCCAGTTTCTTCATCACTCACCCATTGCCACCCTTCCTGCTAGTATTCCTGTTACTTGCCCAGCCTGTGTCTGAATTTGTTTCGCCTGCCAAGACGAAACAAATTCAGACGTATGTTTTGTCATTGGTTTTGTCAATTTGCCTAATATGCCCCTAACTCATCCCTAAATAAAACCTTTACCGAGAGATTACATAAGATTAGGTTCTTAACTTAGATCCACAGAAAGTTTTTTTTTTTTTTTTTGAGCGAGAGGGCACCAAGTGAGTGGTGGGGGGGAGAGAGGGGGGAGGGAAGTGGGCTCCATCCTGGCTAGGGTTTGAGTTCACGAAGTGGAGACTCGATCACAGAACCTTTAGGTCTGTGAACCTGGGTTTATGTATTCCAATAGACTTCATTTCTTTATAATCCTTTGCATTTTCTGTTAATTATTTTATTTTTTGGTTTAGTTTACTTTTAGAGACAAGACAGGCAGAGTATTCCAGTGGGGGCAGGCAGAGCCGAGTCACAGAATCAGGCAGGCTCCAGACTCAGCTGTGGCACAGAGCCCGACACCGGGCTTGAACTCACAAGCGGTGAGATCATGACTTGAGGTGAAGTCAGCCACTCAACTGACTGGCTCACAGGCACCCTCTGTTAATTGCTTAAAAAAAAAAAAAAAAGTTCTATCTTGAGGTTCATAGGTGTTGCCTGTACAAGAGGTTTACACTCAAATAAATAAATAA